AACTTGTGAGATTATAATAGATAAAATGAATAAATATTATACTTAAAGATTATTATTTTTCTTCTAAGAGTCAATACTTTTCCGATAACCGTTTAGTTCACATTTCACAACAGCAACACATGAACCAGGTATGCTATTTAAAGCTAACTAAATATAAGACTACAAACTAGGCATTATTTTTACTTCCGGGTATAGATTAGCCATCATCAGAGCGAGAAATAGGTCAGTAGGCTTAGTAGTCCTCCTCCCCCTCCTCTCGCCACCTCCTCACAGTGACGCTAGTTGACTTGACTGACGACTGACTGACTCTTTTCTTTAACTTCAGCGTAATGTCCATAGTTTCCTTTTGCTCTTTTGTTTTTTATAGCATCGTGATATGAAAATTTCTTATAATAAAAATATATATATGTGATATGGACGAAGTTTAAACACACACATACTGACGAATGATATAAAAACACCAAGACAGATGCCAGTACATGTTAAGTCAAGCCGTTCACTTACACGTCACATGTCTTAAGAAAAAAGTGACATGCAAACTAGTGTGTGTGTGTGTGTGTGTGTGTGTGTGTGGGGGGGGGTGGGTTATTACACATATGGGTGGGCTAGAACACAGGAGAGAGTCAGTGGGCGGGTGGGTGGGTGGGTTGGGTCGGCGGGTGTGAACTTTGTTAAGAAATCTGAACTTTATATCTTCAAGAAAAATATAAAAAAATCAAGGAATTTATTTTCGATTTATATTCTCAACTTTGAAACTATACAGGAAACTTATATCAATTTTCTTTAGTCTAGTAATTAAGAACTAAATATTGTAAACACGCGTATAAGGCAATTAGATAATATATAAGATGTAATTAGACGATATAAGGATTGATATAATATAATTTTTTTTTAATTTCAAAGTTGTTTTTTTTAAGTTAAATTAATCCGGTGTTATGAATTAAATAAAGAGATGTTAATTAGTTTCTTGTATATGCAGGTGAGTGTGAGTGTTACCTGCGACACACACACACACAGTATCGCTATTCTCCTTGACATAATGTTAGCAGTCATGTGTGTGTGTGTGTGTGTGTGTGTGTGTATGTGCGTGTGCATATTTCATGGTACCTTATTGATTTTAACTGGTTAGGTATCCGGAACTTACAGCTCTCTTGTTTTAAGTCTCTCTGTCTCTATTAGTTGTTTACATTTTACTTGATTCTTGTTTGTTATCTTGTTTCTTCCACGTTTGTTTATCAGTCTTCTCTTCTCTTCTCTTCTCTTCTTCACTATATCTTAATCACATCATTTATTACTTTATATCTCTCTTCTTCTTCTTCTTCTCCTTCATTTATCATTGATTTCTTTCACTACCTCCTCCTCCTCTTTCTTCTATCTATTACATTCTTCTTCTTTCGTTTGTCTTTTGTTTCATTCTTTATTATTGAACTCTTTCCTTCTTTCTTAACACCATTATTTCAATTTCTTCATTTCTCTCTATGTCTTTCATTCGTGATTTATTTTTCCTCCTCTTCTGTTTTCTTTTAAGGAGAATCTTTACATTATTTTATTCATTTTTCTGTCTTGGCTATAATTATGTTGTCTTGGCTATAATTATGTTGTCTTGGCTATAATTATGTTGCCTTGGCTATAATTATGTTATCTTGGCTATTATTATGTTGTCTTGGCTATAATTATGTTATCTTGGCTATAATTATGTTATCTTGGCTATAATTATGTTGTCTTGGCTATAATTATGGTGTCTTGGCTATAATTATGGTGTCTTGGCTATTATGTTATCTTGGCTATAATTATGTTGTCTTGGCTATAATTATGGCGTTTGGTCTTATATTAGGTTAAATTAGGTTACGGTATATTAGGTTAGGTTAGGTTAGGTTAGGTTAGGTTCTCCCAGGCAAGAAGGTTGACCACCAGGCATGAGGGAAGGTCACTGAATTATTGAGGACAACAAACATGGCCGCCATCTAAAGCTCATGAAACGACGTGTAAAACAAAAGAGCAACGTTGAGTGTGATGCGATAACTGTGTCCACTCCCACGGCGTTGACAGTGTGTGATTTTATTAGTTCAACGCTATTTACAACGCCTAGTATTGTTTTTCAGCGTTGATTTCTATTATCATTAACTCAACGCTGACCATTTACAACTATTTACAACGTATTTACACATTCAACGCCTTGTATTCTATTTCAGCTTTGATTCCCATATTCCGTAGCGTTGAATGAATGCCGTTTAACACTCCAGACAACGGGGGAGAGGATCTGTTGAACGTCTGTTACTCCAAAAGGTCAACAGACGAGCCGACGGGTATGTGTGTTATGTGGTCACGCCCTCTAATGTTGGTTACGCCTCTTGTAACACTGTTGGCTATGTATTGTAATGCTAATAGCTATATTGTAGTGCTGTTGGCTATATTATAACACTGTTGGCTATATTGTAAAGTATTGGCTATATTGTAACGTATTAGCTATATTATAACTTGACTATATTATAACGTGTTGGCTATATATTGTAACGCTGATGGCTGTATTATAACACAGTTGGCTATATTGTAACGTATTGGCTATATTATAACACATTTGGCTATATTGTAACGTATTGGCTATATTATAACACATTTGGCTATATTGTAACGTATTGGCTATATTATAACACAGTTGGCTATATTGTAATGTGTTGGCTATATTATAACTTGGCTATATTGTAACGTGTTGGTAATATTATAACACAGTTGGCTATATTGTAACGTGTTCGCTATATTATAACACATTGGTTATATTGTAACGTATTGGCTATATTATAACTTGGCTATATTGTGACGTTGTTGGCTATATTGTGACGTTGTTGGCTATATTGTAACACTGTTAACTATACAGTAAACACGACAGTGTTACGAACCACTCCATCAATTGTCCTGATCTACCTACCCAGCACCACGAGCAACGCCATCTAGGGACGAAACCCGAGTATGCCTAGTCTTAGTTACCACTCCGGGGTTTCCCTTCTCCATATCCTGGCTGTTGCTTCACCTCCTCCAAGTCTTCCTCATCAGCTCCAGATCGAGGAAAGTTCAGTTCACTCTGGGAAGTGACCATACTAGGATCACCTATCCTGGAAACCTACGGCACAGTGACTACCTACCACCGTCTTCAATACTCAGCCTTACTCGTCAGCCATCTCATCTCCTCACTTAAGTATTGTAAACCCTATATTGCCTCCCACCTCCACGTGCTTTAGTTTGTTGTATAAATATGTATATACTGTTAAGCCAATGTTGCGTATGTTTAGGTTAAGTATGGTTAAGGGTAAATTGTAGAAAGCTGAATATTTTGTTAAGGAATTTATGGTACTTTATTATACACAACAAAAACTCGCATCCTTTGTCTACCATTTTATAGTCCGATTGTCTTTGTTTTTTTTATTGTTGTTGCATGTTGGGATCTGGGTAGACTTTTAACTATATTCTAAATCCCCAACTCGTAACAACAGTAGCATCAACACCACCAAGAACACTAACAACAACAATAACAACAACAACAACAACAACAACAACATTCCTCCTTTCCTCCACTTCTATAACTGATAAACAAAGAAACTCACCATAACTTTGTGTCTCTGGTACAGTGTGTTGGTGCGTCTTCAGCATCAACACGACAGACTTACATACGTCCTCCTCACTGTTGCCAAGATCTTAGTGTTCATTTATCTGACCCCAGTATTAATAGACCCCAGTACTAATAGGCCCCAGTACTAATAGACCCCAGTGCTAATAGACCCCAGTATTAATAGACCCCAGTACTAATAGGCCCCAGTACTAATAGACCCCAGTACTAATAGACCCCAGTACTAATAGATCCCAGTACTAATAGGCCCCAGTACTAATAGACCCCAGTACTAATAGACCCAGTACTAATAGACCCCAGTACTAATAGACCCTAGTACTAATAGGCCCCAGTACTAATAGATCCCAGTACTAATAGGCCCCAGTACTAATAGACCCTCAGTACTAATAGACCCCAGTACTAATAGATCCCAGTACTAATAGACCCAGTACCAAGATCCCAGTACCACAGACCCCAGCACCAATAGACCCCAGCAATAGACCCCAGTACTACTAGACCCCAGTACACAGGCCCCACACACAGACCCCAGTACTACTAGACCCCAGTACTAGACCCCAGTACTAGTAGACCCCAGTACCACAGACCCCAGCACTAACAGACCCCAGTACTAATAGACCCCAGTACCACAGACCCCAGTACTAATAGACCCCAGCACTAATAGACCCCAGTACCACAGACCCCAGTACTAAAGATCCCAGTACTACAGACCCCAGTACTAATAGGCCCCAGTACTACAGATCCCAGTACCACAGGCCCCAGTACTAATAGACCCCAGTACTAATAGACCCAGTCCAGTACTAATAGACCCAGCACTAATAGACCCCAGTACTAATAGACCCAGTACTAATAGATCCCAGTACTAATAGGCCCCAGTACTAATAGACCCCAGTACTAATAGGTACCAGATTACCTAAATCCAGATGCTGATGGTTAAGATAACAGATGGTAATGACGTACACACACACCAACAGGATATGACCATTAACTATGTTTTTATTCGCCGGAAAGTCTTACTAAGAACAGATGGGATACTCGAGGCCAACCAGACCGTCTGCTGTAGTGAGAGGCCTTACTGACATTTAAAGTGCATCGGTAATTGCTGCTGCAGTGTGTATACCGCGGGGATTACAATGCAGTGTATGACAAGTGTTTTGTATTGGATTAAGATTAACATAACGCTCCCTCAGCTAAGTGTCAGGTGAATGGGTGTCACTTATATAGTGAAACTCATTTATCATTATTATATAAATCCAAACAAACGGCTGAATGCAGAATGATGAATAGAAACGACATTTTACACCAAATTCCAGAGGTGTCGGGGCGACGTGTGGTTGGCTGACGGTTACAGATGGGCGGAGCAGGAGTGTGCCTGTGATGTAATTGGTCCCCAGGATCATCTCCCGCACATGTGCTGATGGAGCCGACCGCTGACTGGCCCCGCGCCAAGTACCTGCCGCAGTGATCATCAAGAAAGACAAGACTAAGGAGCGTACTGTCTGTGTTCCTAGCGGGTAAGGATTTATTTGACAATTATAATTATACCTGTACCTTCAGATGATCAGCTTCATAATGTAGATAATGGTGTAGTGTGTGGGAGGCGTTCCACCACCTTGCTGGGCCTCACCATCAACACCTCAGATCAAATTATGAAAAAAAATGAACAAACGGAAATCGATAACAGGGTCTGATATAATCAATAGTACTTTAGCTTATAGTTTATCTTGAGAGTTTCCTGGTGTAGACCTTTTGATCAGACACCAGGGTCAGGTCACCGTGTCACCCACTTCTTCTCGTTGTTTTTAGTGGGTTGCTGACCGATTTTTTTAATTTAGTCAGGTTGGGCAGACAGTGGCTCTCGGCCTGAGGATTACCGCCCCTCAGTGCCCACTCCTCACCTCCTCACACCCCAAAACACTCAGTATTTATCTTTCCTGTAGACGGAGGCGGAGGACACCTGAAGACGTCACCAACATCCAATGCAAGAAAGAGAACACCATCCTGACGAAGACCTCGGTGTACTGACGGGTGTTAAGACGTCAGAGGAGCGTACTGAGAAGTGGAGGCACAAGACTAAGTCGTGAAAGGACCCGAGGTGGGACGTGTGAAGGAGGGACGCGCAGGACACAAGAAGCGGGACACACTGGTCTTAGATGACTGGTGGACACTCTAGACACCGCTGCTCCTGCCTCTAATTGAGAACCTCCACTACTGACGATGGCGTCGCAAACACAAGTGATCGGAAGGGCGTGGCTCTTCACCCTCCTCTGTCTGTCCACGACGCTGGTGACAGTCATACACGCCCAACAGAAAATAAACATATGGTATCAACCAAACCAACACCACCACTGCCCATGATGACTTCAGCTCAACTTTTCACTGACCTTCCCTCGACCTTATTGTCCCCTAACAACACACACATGTCCCCTGAACCTCACAGATAAACACACCTGCTGCTGGATGGTCGTAATATGAGCCGCCATACCACAGGTTCTACCAGGCTGGTGGTGAACGTTAGAGGGTTTTGACTCCTCACATTAGTACGAGTCATTCTCATCCTTATGTGTGTATCAATTTTATCACATTGTATTTATAGCGGCACCAGGAGTTCACATTGATTGATTCACTCAACACACCACAAAGCCACTAATATGATATAATGATCTAAACTTACAATAACAGGTGCAGTAGTACAGTATGTAAGATCAGCCACACCACTGAAGGTTATGTAATAATAATTATTAACGTTTTATTGAAAGAACATGGCAGCCGGAAGGCTGAAATATTTTAGTGAATACAAGTTACCATAAGTGATACAAATATGTTCTATAATAACAAGGCGGGGAGAAGGTCATACTACAGGGACGACATAGTGACAGCAAAAAAGGTAAGATTGACTGAGAGTGAATACACTGGTTGATTGCGAGTTGTTGATAATTTTACAATAGTTGGGACTGGGCTGTTCTTGTAGCGATCAGTATGTGCTCGTATGGGCTGGATGCGGTTGTGGTGTCGAACAGCAATACGCGGACGAGGGATCTCGTGAAAGTAGGAGCTGTATGGAGTAGCGTGCCTTCACCTAATTTTGCAGACGAGGTCGTGGTATGCTGGGAGAGCCTATATGCAAAGGAGCTTCTTGATATGTGGAGTAGGAAGTGGAGAGAATAATCTTGCATGCCCTCTTGCACTTTTTCTAGGTGTTTACGTTGTGTGGCATTTAGGAGGAAGACCAGGTAGGGGAGCCATAGGTGAAGTTAAGTATGAATGTTGAGTAAACACTGAGGAATCTCGGGCGCAGGAACACCGAGGATTCGAATCGGGAAGGAGGTGGAGACGAAAACTGGATGATTTGACAACTTCACTGACGTGTTTCCAATTTAGTTTGTTATCTATAGTGACGCCGAGGAGCTTAGTGGAGTCTACAACCTGAGTGTGTTGGAGGCCAAAAGTAATGGAGGGGTTGGGACAAAGCTTTGACAGTGTACCCCACGAAAGGCTGAAATCAAACTGAAGGGCACGGAATTCGTGTCGCTAGCGTGGATAGAAGACTTTCTACATGACCGCAAGCAATGTGTGTGGATTAACAGGAAATCGTCATCTGTACCTGTACAAGTGGGGTACCGCAGGGTATGCAGCCCCGCTGTTGTTGTTTGTCATAAATGATATGCCTGACGTTGTACACTCCTCCATACAAATGTTTGCCGATGACGCCAAGTTATTTCGGGAAATTAAGAACCAAGCGGACTGTGAAGAGCTGCAGAAGGACCTCTGTGGGCCAGGAATGGTCGAAGGAATGGCTGCTGAGATTCAATGTCACGAAGTGTAAGAGGATGCACCTGGGGCGTACCAACGGTAAGGAGGCGTACCATATGTCCCAACGGGATGAAGAAAATGTACTAGTTGAGACTGTGTGTGAGAAGGACCTAGGTGTGTATGTTGACAATGAGCTGAAGTTCTCGGGCCATTGTGAGAAGAAGGTAAATCAGGCAAATAAATTATTGGGCCTTATAAGAAGGTCGTTCAGATATCTAGACGGTCCGTCCCTCGTGACGGTCTTCAGGAGTGAAGTGCTTCCCCATCTGGAGTACTGTCACCCCATCTGGTCCCCGAGATATGCTAGGGACTGTCAGTTGGTTGAAAATGTTCAAAGGAGGGCCACCAAGCTGGTTGCCTGCACTTCGGCATCTCAGCTACCCTGCGAGATTGGAGCGCCTGAACTTGCCTAGCTTATACTACAGACGGGCAAGGGGGGACCTAGTTGAGGTTTATAAGCATCTCAGGGGGCACTACTCAGTTGAGTGTCCTTACTTGGAGCTGGCGGACGCTCGCCCCACAAGGGGTCACAGCTCAAGATTGAAGAAGCCGCAAGTCCGGAAAACCGTGAGGGCAAACTTTTTCGGAGTGAGGGTTGTAAACTCTTGGAACAATCTACCAGAGAGTGTTGTGACGGCACCGAGTGTGAGCTCTTTCAAGAGAAGACTTGACCAACACTGGAGCGGGTTCAGGTACATTCAGGAGCCGGTGCATGCCCAGTATTTACCAACAGTGCGTGACAGAGACGTGACCGATCGCCCGGGCGGCTAGCGAGCCGATCTTTTGGTGAAGAAGATAAATGAAAAGGAAAAGTAATCAGAGACGTGACCGATCGCCCAAGCAGCTAACAAGCCGATCAGTGGCGAAGAGGATAAAAGTAAAAAGTAAAAGCATAACCATGGTCTTGATGGTGGAGTCGTCGACATATTTCCAGCGAGCAGAGGTTTCCCTTAGGGCATCATTGATAAGCATAAGAAAGCAGAGCGGTCCCATCTTGGTGCCTTTGGGGACGCCACAGGTGAGTGACTGAAAAGTGGAGACACCCCCCGGAAGCGTACAGCTTGGCGTCGGTTACTGAGGAAGTCTGTAAGCCATTGTATAAGACTTTCTAAACCCGAGGTCGATAGCTTTGTTGATGATTACATTGTGGTCGACTAGGTCAAATGCCTTGGTGAAGTCAATGACGGCGACAGCTACAGACGTTTTTCGTTTTTCCAGATGGCGGTATATGTAGTTGAGAAAGATGACAAGACTGAGTGGTGAAGGAAATTTTCATATTGCCAAATTGCTGAGGATCTACGGCGCCTGCAATATTAGCACAAGCCCAGTCAAACACGAAACTTTCACAGATTAAACTGGGTATTGGGGTGATGGCAATGGGTCGTAGCTCATTTAAGGATAGTGGGCTGGTTGACTTGGGCACTGGTGACACATTTGAGGTCTTCCAGTCAGCTGGGCATCCTGCTTGGCTGAGGGAAGGATTGATGATGGAACAGAAGGGTTTAGCTAGTTCCGGGGAGAACTCTTTGTAGAGTTTCATTGGTAAGTCAATGTGGGTGGTGGAGCGCTTTAACTTCAGTTTGTCCAGACGTTTTGCTACTTCAAATTCTTGTACTAAGTCAGTGGGAAACGGGGGCTGGTAGGTAAGCAGGGAGACTGGTTGTGTCAAGCCTGGGAAGCGTCTGACATACAGTTGCGAAATGATTGTTTGATTGCTCAGTTGCGTCACCATTCGTGTGTGTGTGTGTGTGTAGTACTGGAGGTATTCACGTAGCCATCTAAAACCCTTGAAGAATTCCTGACATTCCTGTTCACCAGCTTATGACACTATTAATCAACTCCTGACACCATAAATCAACTTCTGACACTATTAATCAACTCCTGACACTAGTAATCAACTCCTGACACTAGTAATCAACTCCTGACACCATAAATCAACTTCTGACACTATTAATCAACTCCTGACACTAGTAATCAACTCCTGACACTAGTAATCAACTCCTGACACCATAAATCAACTTCTGACACTATTAATCAACTCCTGACACTATTAATCAACTCCTGACACTAGTAATCAACTCCTGACACTATTAATCAACTCCTGACACTATTAATCAACTCCTGACACTACTAATCGATACCTGACACAATTAATCAACTGCTGACACTCCTGATCACCACTACCGTCAGCAAACACTCCCTACGTCTTTAAATTTTGTTCTCGTTCTACTGGTCGTGTTCCTGTCAATACACTTGAGGTACACAGGTAGAACTCATCTGTGTGTTAGTCAGGCTATAAAGATCCCATCAACCAATCACCACTCGAGGATATTGTGTTAGTGACGTCATGGCACCAATCACCACTCGTTTGTTTTAGTGACGTCATGGCACCAATCACCACTCGAGGATATTGTGTTAGTGACGTCATGGCACCAATCACCACTCGAGGATATTGTGTTAGTGACGTCATGGCACCAATCACCACTCGAGGATATTGTGTTAGTGACGTCATGCCACCAATCACCACTCGTTTGTTTTAGTGACGTCATGGCACCAATCACCACTCGAGGATATTGTGTTAGTGACGTCATGGCACTAATCACCACTCGTTTGTTTTAGTGACGTCATGGCACCAATCACCACTCGTTTGTTTTAGTGACGTCATGGCACCAATCACCACTCGAGGATATTGTGTTAGTGACGTCATTGCACCAATCACCACTCGAGGATATTGTGGTAGTGACGTCATTGCACCAATCACCACTCGAGGATATTGTGTTAGTGACGTCATGGCACCAATCACCACTTGTTTGTTTTGAGTGACGTCATAGCACCAATTACCACCGTTTGTTTTAGTGACGTCATGGCACCAATCACCACTCGTTTGTTTTAGTGACGTCATGGCACCAATCACCACTTGTCTGTTTTAGTGACGTCATGGCACAATCACCATACGTTTGTTTTGGGGACGTCATGCCGCAATCACCACTCGTTTGTTTTAGTGACGTCATGGCACCAATCACCATACGTTTGTTTTAGTGACGTCATGGCACCAATCACCACTGTTTGTTTTAGTGACGTCATGGCGCAATCACCGCTCGAGGATATTGTGTTAGTATCATGGCACCAATCACCACTCGAGGATATTGTGTTAGTGACGTCATGGCACTATCACCGCTCGAGGATATTGTGTTAGTGACGTCATGGCTCAATCACCACTCGAGGATATTGTGTTAGTGACGTCATGGCACCACCACTCGTTGTTTGGTTAAGGACGTCATGGTACCAATCACCACTCGAGGATATTGTGTTAGTGACGTCATGGCAAATCACCACTCGAGGATATTGTGTTAGTGACGTCATGGCACAATCACCACTCGTTTATTTAAGTGACGTCATGGCACCAATCACCACTCGTTTGTTTTAGTGACGTCTTGGCACCAATCACCATTCGTTTGTTTTAGTGACGTCATGCACCAATCACCACTCGAGGATATTGTGTTAGTGACG